AGAAAAAACTTAAGCACAACTTCGTTCTTAAACATAGTCAATCTACGCACAAGTCCCAACCAAGGTATACGGCTTGCTTACCAACCTTAAGTCTGTTTCTGCTTCAAAAAGATGGCTGACCGTAGAGTTATTCGACGGCAATTCCGACACCTTTTGATACCAAAGAGACAATTACAAGACAGAGAAAATCCTTCTCCAGAAGAAATTTCAAATTAAGAATGCTATAGAAAATTTCGCTTCTATGCCTACCCTGAAACCATTTTATTTATTTGCCAATTAGTAAACAATAGGCTACAAACACACAGGCTACTTTAAGATCAGGCGCTCTCACAATTATTCAGTTAGTTTGTATGTGTCTGCGTTTTTTTTATCTTGTGGCACATTTTATATGTGTATAGGGGACATGTCAAATGCATCGAAATGAACCATTATATATGACAACCAAAGTTGTTTTTATGACGTTAAAGAGCATCGTAGTCACATGTAATTTATATCTTTAAAAACGGCTATAGTTACCATTTCATAGGATTAAAGGTCGACAATACGGACATATTAAAAATATCATATTAACTGAGCTGATAAGATCATTTTTTCCGGAGAAAAATACCCTGTACCTTTCCTAGAAATATCATTATCTTGTTCACTTTTAACGGATATATTTATCGGAGGCGGACTGAAAGGAGGGCGCATGGATCTATTGAGTTAGAGGTTTAGATACTTTGAAAGGTAAGACATACGTCTTTATGGTCGCACGTTTTTTTTAAATCTTGAATTGGAGAGAGAGAGAAAGAGAGAGAGAGAGAGAGAGAGAGAGAATTTTGGTTTCTCGGCAAAATTGTTTCTTCACTCTGCAGTCTATGGAGTCAAGTCTCACGTACTTATTGCACGAGAATATATAGTTATACATATAACCATATTGTGATGAGGTGTCGCTGTAACTTAAATGGCCAATTTCGTTTATATTTTGGAGAATAAAACTGCTTAATTTTGTGTTAAAAGCACTTAAAAGGCTCTACCTTAGGGCCGAGCAACTAACTCAATATACGTGATACGTTTTTACACAACTTAACCCCGCCAGTTTTCATCTGAAAATGGAGATCGTTGTCCCAAGTTGTATTATTATACTTTGTCTGGATAAAACAAGATTTATTTTATAAAAATAATTTGTTGGTGAAATTTAGCTTCGTTATCAAGTACAACACGTGGGTCATGAACTGTATAGACCTCTAAAGGAACCGCAATAGATTATCAGGTCACCCAACGAAAAAAAAATTGACCCGAAATCTTAAAAGGGTTACGTGGGTGGATAAGGTGAGACAAGTTAAATACACCGGTTGGCGCTTAAATTTCACACGTGCACGGATTTTGATTTCTGAGAGTTTGTTAAGATCGGGATTGTCCCTTTAAGTGAACGAATTGATGAAATAATAAAACTTAAAGAAGATAAAACATATTCAAGTTTAGGGAGTCTCAGTGGCAATGTAAATATTGAAAGGGGAAACCGACTATCACAAACAGGATGTGTGACCTAACTAAACGATTTAAATCAGATGGTATTTCTTTTATTTTGTTTCCGATGTACTCTTAGTTTGTATCGATGTACTCTATTCAAATGAAATTGCAAGGGTTTTTCGTCCTATCCGAACGTCTAGACACAACTCCTTGCCAAGCCCTATTTCCTGTACAAATGACAGGGGCTCCAACTAATCTTTATTAAAGGGTCCTTCGTCTCGACAATAACTAAGGTATCGTGTTGATGAGACATTAACCATATGTTAGTCTCAAAATAACCCACTATTGTGTTGATGATACATTAACCATAGGTTAGTCTCAAAATAACCAAAGTATTGTGTTGATGATACATTAACCATATGTTAGTCTTAAAATAACATAAAATAAGTATTGTGTTGATGAGACATTAACCATATGTTAGTTTCAAAATAACCAAGTATTGTGATGATGATACATTAACCATATGTTAGTCTCAAAATAACCAGGGTATTGTATTAATGAAACATTAACCATATGTTAGTCCCAAAATAACTAAACTTTTGTGTTGATGAGACATTAACCATATGTTAGTCTCAAAATAACCAAGGGTATTGTGTTCATGATACATTAATCATATGTTAGTCTCAAAATAACCAAGTATCATGTTGATGATACATTAACCATATGTTAGTCTCAATATTGTCTTGACGAGACGTTTAACCCCGTTCCAGTTCCTGTCACATTGGACATGTTTATATAAGAGCCCTGGCATGTGCAGATGACCTCACTTTAATTACGCCAACAAGAAAGACCCTACAAGAATTACTTAACATTGCAGAGTCTTACTCTAATGAATACGATGTCAAATTTAACTCCGACAAAAGTAAGCTTCTAATATTTAGACATAATAAAAAACCTGATACAAATACAAATATTAATATCTTCACTTCAGAATTACATTTAAGTAATCTAATCTTTTTCGATCAAACCAAAACAAATATAGACGACTATAGATTCAATGTAACTTTAAATGTATTTAAAAGTGTCTCGCCACGGATTAAACATACATTATGCAAGAGTTCAATCTGTCTATTGCAGGTCTTTCTTTAGGCCTGAAATGTTATCTAAATTATTAAATAGACATTAATTAACCTATCCAAACCATAATCAACCCTAGATGGCATCGCTAGCCTGCGATCTTTAGTGAATTGTGAGCCGATTTACTGCATAACTTTCCTTCACGATTTAACGATTAAATAGATAATCGTGACTATGCTGTTTATCGTACCGACTTTAGTAATGATGATCAAGGCTATGCGGAAATTTCAATCGCTTTGTTCTCGGTTCATAGTGGATCAAATTGAATGAAATTTTCAGCAAATTGCCTTTACATTATCTAGTTTTTAACTATTATAGTGAGAACTGCCAACCCGTTATCGAATCTCCCATGATGTGTCTTTAAGTATGAACTATTTAAAACTTTTTGTATGCCATTATATGGATGTCAACTGTAGAACCTAACTAACAAATCTACCGAGAAATTTTACTGTGCCTGGTGCAAAAGTGTAAGACGTATATTTTATATTCCATATAGAACTCATAATTTCCTATTACATTTGATTTGTAAATATGAAATGTATAAGAATGTCTTCTGTTCAATGAAAAAAAAACCTGAAATAATAAGTAGGATGGTAAAAGTCACCACTAACAAATATAAAGTTAATGACCTGCAAACTGCTGCGGTTATAAATGACATGTTATTTATGAAACATTCTCATGAAGTCTGTGATAAAGAACAAATAAATGAGATTATAGAGTATTTATGTACAAAATAACACAATTTAATTTAAATTTATGAAACTTTAAATTATTGTAAATTTTATTATTAGTATTACTACTATTATTATTATTAATAGTATTATCGCACCTGTCCTTCTCTATGTATACACTTGTGTATGAAATAAATATATTATTATTATTATTATTATTATTATTATAAATACGAAATTCTACGTATGGATTAAAAAGATATCAAAATTAACATAATGAATGTCTATTAAAATAATGAATGACTATTAAAATTAACATAATGAATGACTATTAAAATTAACATAATGAATGTCTATTAAAATAATGAATGACTATTAAAATTAACATATTGAATGACTATTAAAATTAACATAATGAATGACTATTAACATAATGAATGACTATTAAAATTTACATAATAAATGACTATTAAAACTTGCATAATGAATGGCTATCAAAAATTAACACAACGAATGTTTTTTAAACATTTACATAACGAATGACTATTAACATTTACATGAATGAATATCAAAAATTAACATAATGAATGAATACTAAAACTACATAATGAATGACTATCAAAAATTAACATATTATTATTATTATTTACATAACGAATGACTATTAAAATTTACATAATGAATGACTATTATTATTTACATAATAAATGACTTGTAAAATTAACATAATGAATGACTATTAAAACTACATAATAAATGACTAGAAAAATTAACATAATGATTGACTATTAAAACTACATAATAAATGACTAGTAAAGTTTACATAATGAATGACTTGTAAAATTTACATAACGAATGACTATCAAAATACTAAAATTACATAATAAATGACTAGTAAATTTTACATGGCTATATGACCATTGAAATTTGATAAATGAATAACTATTAAAGTTTATATAATGAATATTAAAATTTACCTAAATAACTATTGAAATTTGTTGAATGAATATCCAAAGAGAGAAAAATGAGTTTAAAGTCAACCCGACACAAACTTGGTCATTTCGTTACTAACATGTGGTTCAATTTTATTGAAAAAAAATATATGGGTCTTTAGCAGTGGGATAAAACCGGAAGACCCGGATATAACCCACGAGGTTGGACAGGCGACCCTAAGTCACTTTTCTGAATGACAGACCCCATGATCTAAAGCGCACGCGTTATATAATTATGCCAATCTATATACAGGTCAGAGCCGCCTGTCTAACCTCGTAGGTTTTCTCCGGGTCCTCCGGTTTCCCCCCACTGCTAAAGACCCGTACGCGCAAGCGAATTATTGAAATTAAACTAAACCATATGTTCGTCCCGAAATGACCTACTTTGTGTCGAGTGGACGGTAAACCTCATTTCTCTCTCTCTTATATACAGGTCACATGTATATGGAATACAATTACTGCTTTTTAATGAGCGACGTTTCCACTAGGCTTGTGTACTCTCTCTATATATAAAAATCCCCCACAGTGTTCTGTTGGTGTCACTTTAAAGCCTTGACAGAGGATGGACGGATGGGCCATGACCTATCTATTGCTAAAAATATAACCGTTGCAATATATCCGGTTATAGTTTCAATAGTGATACATCTATAATCATTTCAACGACCCGCATATTGAGGTAACGTAATTCTTATTGTATAAGACAGGCCTAGTGTATTCACACATTTATTAGTTACTTGTAAGTAGTTTTATTCTGACGGATATGATGGTCGTTTCAATGGAGGATTAATACGCAAAGTTTCGTCCAAAAATATAAAATCAATATTTAGGAAAAAACATCAGTAGCACGTTATCACCATGTTGTATTTTTCCACGTTATATTTCATTAAGTGTAAAACTTGGTTTTATTTACTGGATGGCCTGGTGTAAAACCTGATTCTATTAAATATGACAAGGGTAAAACTTGGTTCTATTAACAGGACTGATGTAAAATAAGGTCCTATTTACAGAACTGGTGTAAAATAAGGTTCTATTTACTGTATGGCCTGGTGTAAAATAAGGTTCTAATAACAGGACTTGTAAAAAAAGGGTTGTGTTTTCAGGCGGAAAACGGGAAAGGAGGTTCGGTGTTGATGATAGAAGAGGAACAGGTCAAACGGATCTATTTTTGTGAAGTTGTGATTCTCCAATACCGATCAACATGGGGTAAGTTAATATTTCTCGGTTTGTTTGGGTGTTTTTTCCTAAACAACTAAATATTTGTCCTGAAACAGAAACTTCTCGGTAATTATTTCCTGGTGAATAAATTTAACCTTCACTCACGGACCAATTTGAAAAACATCGAGTTAAATCCCGGTTTACAAAAATATGAGAACTCGTATTAATCCGGGACAAACGAGATAGATAGGATGAGGGAGATAACAATCTGATTTAAATACAGATCTATATTTCGTTTCGTTTTTTTATACTTCCGATGGCCTACACTACATGGAGATCTGACAAGTTGTACCGGAAGGTCGTGTCAGGGGTCGTACCAGCGGCTTTTGATGCTATGGCATCAGAAATTAATTAATCAATCAGCGTTGACGTTTCTAGTGGTTTACCTACAGTTCCATGCATGGCACGCCAAGAAGTCTCCGTAACAGACCGTTTCATTGACTAATCCCTCACTTCAACCAAAACGCCGGTAATATAACAACTTTTTCAGATTCTAGTGTAGTAGAGACAAGTAAAACAAAATTTTGAACTATAAAAAACGAAACGAAATAGGATCTGTGTTTTAATCCGATTGATGAAGATACACTGTAAAAAATATCCATTTTTTATGTGGCCGAATTCCGTAATTTAACACCCTTTTTCTGTTAATCGATGGATTTTTTGGAGAAATTGTGTTAATTGTCTGAATTATTTCTTCAAATTACTTGTTTTATGTATTTCTGTGGAATATTCAGTATTAAACAGGAAATTTCCGTGAAATTTAGGGATAAAATGTTTTATTCCCTTCTATAACGGACTTAATTCTGTTATTTTACGGAATAAACGGTGGAATGACAAGGAAGTTCCGTGAAATTTAGGGATAAAATGTTTTATTCCGTTCTGTAATGGACTTAATTCTGTTGTTTTACGGGATAAACGGTGCAACGATAAATAATCGTATACATATATAATCATTCCTAATAATCATCATGTTATAGTATTCATTTCAATTTATTAACCATAATATGAAGAATCATATTTTGTAACGTTTGGTATATTAATTGACATGTATATCTAATTTCCATTATTTATAAGATCTATAAAGTGTATTGTTATTCATCATACGGTAATCAGATTGTAAGTATTTTCATAAATATGTAAAAGTATGTTTTAATGCTGCGGGTGTTAAGGTTGTAATATCTGGTAATCAAGCACGCTAAAGTCCGGATAGTACAACCGGTTGGCCAGTGTAAGTCGGTTTGTCTCTATGGCAGAGTCTGCATACCTGCGAATTGATAATACCGCAAACTTACATATGAAAGCCTCCAACCACTGACGAGTAGCGGTTTGTGATACCTTGCTCTCGATTCTTATAATAGCGAAAAGAGGTTACGTTTAAAAAAAATTATTTGCGATATCACTTCGGTGGAAGCGGACGTTAAATAAAGCTATTTCACGCACGCGTATAAAGTCAATGGTTAATTCAATGAAATTTTTATCACCTTCATGGTCAGGAAACAAAATTTACCAGGATTTTTTTTTCTGTATTTGAAAATGGAATTTATGTTAATTGAAGGAATTTCTGTAAATTACAGGAAAAACAAATACGGATAAAATTTTCCTGGTAATTTTTGTTTCCGGAATTTTTTACGTTTTTTCACGGAAATTTTTGTTACAGTGTAGAAACTACTTTATTTCGCGACTATAAAATAGTACAATTTTATTTTACGATTCGCTTTTGAATAGGGTTCTTCAGCAATGGGAGCAAACCCTACTTATTGTCACGTACCAGTCTAGAATCCAATGATAATAATAATAATGAATTAATGAATTAATTACAATAATATGGTTGTTAAAATTACGATATTGCCACTATTAAACATACATTATGCGAGAGCTAAATCTGCCTATTGCAAGTCTTTCCTTAGGCCTGAAATGTTTTCTAAATTATTAATTATATATTAATTAACTTATCCAGGCCATAATCAACTATCGATGGCATCGGATTTCTCCGATATTAAATAGATTAGAACAGTTCAACCTAGAGCTTGGCGATATCCCTGGAAACAGATATCGCGATATTGTTTGAAAATATCGCGATATAATCACTATATAATTATTTTATAAAATGTCAATAATTTCAGTTTATCACTGTGTATATATATATATATATATATATATATATATATATATATATATATATATATATATACCCTGCGGAGTATTCACTTGACACTTTCTAGTCAATATTAAAACTTGTTAGCATAAATAGAGTACCGAATTTACAAACAAAATTTAATGAGCTAGTTCAAACATAGATCTATCTATAGCTAAAAATATTGTTCTATGGTTTTTATTACAATTTTAATTCCCAGTATATTAATTATGATATTTTATATAAATTAAGAATATTTACATGAAGGAGGCACAAAAACAATTTTAAAAAGCTTGTGTTCTTCTTAAGCCGTGCATGTTTTTGTATAAACGGGTACGATCGGAATCACTGGATGCTATTCATTTACCATAGCAAACTCGTTTTTTCTCATTCAAGTGCTTGCCTTCTTGAAAATGCATAATACAATGCAAAAATACTAAATTATACTTTATAACGTAAGTACTATGGCAAAAAGTGTCAATTGATTTAGTCATATTTTTTTCCGGATCACGGACCGCCATGACACGTCCGACGCTGAATGATAATGAGTCTACAGGAACCCTCAATATACACGTAGTTGGCATTATTTATATTTCTGCTTTATTAAAATTTAATTCAATCTGAAAATAAATGATTTCTTTGGAAAATCAAAGCATCTATATAAACAATTTGTCAAGGAATTGAATAGAAGCAGGGATAATTCTAACGGTATTGGTCGGGTGGAAAAATGAGCGAGGAGTCACGTGACGTAAACAAAGCACTTTATTGGCATATTGCGAAATTCGTGCAAAGAATACTCAGGAGTTTATAACAGTATTTATTGCTATTTATTTATCATTAAACAATAAAATATCGTAAATAACATTAAAGGGAAGACATTTCTTTCAAAATTTATTTTAAATATCATCCAGAAAAATCAAAACCGCGATATTATGCGGTATGTTCGGTTTTTCGATATTTTTCTGAAGACGGTATTTTTGACGGTTTTTATTTCTGTGACGGTTTTATATATAGCTTCGAACAACCAGTAAGGTGGTTGAAATTATTGCACACGCCTTGTCAAACCTTCAAAGGCTAATATCTTCGCTCGCAATAGAGTAATTTGAATGAAATTTTCAAATTTAGCTCTAGCATAATGCATGTTTAACTAGGGTTTTGTTCGTACACCGTTTGTATTTACTGTGACTGTGAAAATAAAAATCCGATATGATTTATTTTTGACCCACAGGATAGAAACAGCCATGCTAGCTTTATCTAAGCTAAATCTACGCAACAAAATACGTGATGACGATTTCATTAACGTCATGAACCACGTGATCACACCTGGGCTTCTTCTGTTGGCTGCAACTGGAACGTATCTCACCCAATGGCTAGGTGAACCCATTCACTGCTGGACGCCTGCTGAATACAAAGAAGAAAAGAATTTTCAGAAATATGTGGACAGTTTTTGTTGGATAACGGAACTGTATAACGTTCCCATGGATACGGAACTACCGAAGCTAGAAGAAGACAGAAGAGAGAATCTGGTTGGTTTTTACAGATGGGTGTCAGTTTTACTTCTGCTTCAGGCGCTGATGTTTAAACTACCCAATGTCTTGTGGATGTCGTGGAAGGGAATGTCAGGTTGGTAGTAGTATTTGTTTGTGTTCTGGGGAGTTGGGTGGCCGAATGGTTAACGCGTGCCGACTTGCATCATAATTTCTGTCTTTGTGTCAAGTGGCGTGATCTCGATTTCCCGCTTGACCGTGACAAGGAGTAAGGATACCTGTCCAACCTCGTGGGTTTTCTCCGACTTCTTCCCACTGCTAGAGACCCCTACGTGCAAGCGAATTAATGCAATAAAATTGAACCATGTGTTAGTCCCGAAATTACCTGGTTTGTGTCGAACGGATGTTTGCATAATTCAAATGAAATGAAATGAAATGGGGTTTAACATCCCACTGGTCTGCTCCGACTGCGCTAATAAAGACGAGCATACGCAATATTAGGGAACATTTGTCCGGACTAAGGCCTACTCTTATACCGAATTCCCGCTGTCAGGGGATCTTTTACGTACACGCTAATGTGTACACGGGACCTTGGTTTTGCATTCGATCCAATAGACAAACGTTGTCCTTTGCCAGACCCTCTGTCCAAAGGGGGTGAGAGATCCGGAAAGTGTAGCATTTGGTTGTTGTCCAAACAGGAATGGATCCAGACAGAATTATTAAAATGGCGGAAGAAGGGGATATGGAGGAACAGGAACAGAGTGATTACGAAAACGATGATAAAACCGTGGAAAATACAACCAAGATGGAGACCATGCAGGTAGAAATACTTATCAAATCATTTATCTCAAGTCACTTGAAACTTTGATATCTCACCTGAATGTATTAGAATTTAATAGATTAAAATAGGATATCTATATTACATCATTATTATGTAAGAGCTAAATCTGCCGAATGTAGATCTTTCTTTAGGCCTGAAATGTTATATAAGCTATAAATGAACTCTCGATCCCCTCGGATGCTTGGGATTTTTATCGGATTTAAACACGATTGTAGGTTAATGACTTAATTATTAATTATAAAATGGATAATCGAGACTTTGTTTACTATAGTAACAACGGTAACAATGACAACCGAGTCTCTACTATTCTCCAAAACAGTCCTAACGTCGCTTAGAAGGCAGTAATTCTATTGAAATTTTCGACGCTCCCATTTCTTTATCGATTTTGAACATACAGTGTGCTATGAGGAAATCTTGCTTGGGCAATTCCAACTACCAAGGGATCATGTACGTGTACGCCAATGTGTACACGGGACCTCGTTTTTTTGTACCGTCCGAATGACTAGATACATGTCGGAAAATCTATTTAGCAAGAATAAATCTTCAGATTTCTCCGATATTAAATAGATTAGAACAGTTCAGCCATATTTTGATTTACGCTAAAAATGGATGAGCGAGACTTACCTTCGAACAACCAGTACAGGTCTTGTCAAACCTTCAAAGGCTAATATCTTCGTTCGCAATAGAGTAATTTGAATTAACTTTTGAAATTATTCATTTTACATTATCCATTTTCGAACTATTATAGCAAGAATAGCTAGCTCTTTATCTAAATCTTACGTAATGTATCTTTAATATAATGGGGAATAACCATAGATATGAATATGTTTACATAAAGGTTAAATTTAGGTGAGAGAGAGAGAGAATTATGTCCTGTTATCAATGGTTAAACCCACAATGATGTCATATATAACCATATTGTGAAATACATATGAGGTGTCGCTGTAACTTAAAGGACCAACCTCGATTATATTTTCGAGAATAAAACTACTTAATTTTGTGTTAAAAGCCCTTAAAATCCTCTACCTTAGCAACTAACTCAATATATGTGATACGTTTTCACACAACTTAAACCCGCCAATCTTCATCTGAAAAGAGAGAAATGGGGTTTAACATCCACTCGACACAAACTAGGTCATTTCGGGACTAACCCATGCTTCAAATTTATTTCGACAATTCGATTGCGCGTAGGGGTCTTTAGCAGTGGGAGGAAACCGGAGGACCCGGAGAAAACCCACCAGGTTGGAAAGGCGACCCTACTCCTTGTAATCGAAACCAAACCGGTTGACTCAACGACAGACTTTATGCTACAACGCCAACGTGCTGACCATTCGGCCACCCAACCCCCGCAAACCATAAGACACATAAGACACTGTTTTCAATTCATGCTAACATAATCCATATTTGGGTAATTCTCTGTATATCTGCACACCCGATGCTATCAGATATATAAATAATCAGAAATCACTCCGACCGTGCTTTCGATCCCTGGTGTATACGTATATGGCATGGTTTACTCCCAGAACTCCAGTTTCCGCCCACATGGTAGTCGCCTAAGACAATAAAGGGTCCCCTATGCTGAAAAGCCCGGAAACGCGATAGAGGCTATAGGTCTTATAGGTTTTAACAGATTTTGTTTAAAAAGTATGGATCCTTGAAATTAGATTTCGTCAAAGATCCTTGATCCTTTCGAATAAGCTCCCGTGTGGGGGTGTTCCATGCTTTGCTTGGCTATCTTTTCTCCATAGAGGACCTCGGACCCCGTTCACTTGTTTATTTGTTTCAATTGTAGAATGGGACCACACACGATTCTGTTAAAAAGGAAGACGAAAAGAAGAAAACAGATCAGAAAAAGAAGGATAGTAAAATAGAATCGTTGGCAGGTTTTATAGACCGAAGGTTAAAACTAACATCTAAAAGACGAAAACACAAACCTTGTAGCAGGTTTAATAAATCCTCAGGTAGTTTTCTCACCGATTTTTACCTGTGTGTAAAACTACTTTATCCCATCATCATCATTCTTCAGTTCGTTATGCTCTCCGAGTTCTTAAACATCAATTTCTTTAACTATGGCATCGATATTGCGGCTAAACAAACCGACTGGTCCTTCTGGGAAGACGATGAGGTCTTTCCTCGGATCGCCATGTGCGACTTCAACATCCGTCAGTTACAGAATGTCCAAACGTTCACCGTTCAATGCGTGCTAGCCATGAATATGTTTATAGAGAAGATATACGTTCTTCAGTGGGTCTGGTTGTACTTTCTACTGGTTATATCCATCATCGGGACCATCCAGTCTTTTCTTGACCAGCTCATGTTTTCCATGCATCATGAATTCATAAATAAATTCCTCACGATTGGACAGAAAATCGATTACTTCTGGCCGCCACGAAAACCTAAGAATCAACCAAAGAGCGATAAAAACTCCAAACGACCCAAAGAAATCTTCCAATATTTGTCTTCTAAGGAAAAGGAGAGAATTGCTGCATTAATTCAGCAGGATTCATTTCAGCGCATGTTTATTACCGATTATCTTCAAGCTGACGGCATCTTTATACTGAAGTGTATCCATAGAAACACAAGCAACATGGCCGTCATCGATATCATCTTCCGGTTGTTGGAGCATTTTATGGTGGAGAAGCGATTGGTACATGTTGATGACGACGACGATGAGTATTACGCGAAGTAACAATTCATCACGATTTACGCTGCTGCTACTTATATATATATATATACGCTTCCTAATTCCATTTATCAATATATAACAAAATTAGTAAACTGGATTTGAGTTGGTTTTACGAACGATGTAAATCAAAGGCCTATCCACCGAGTCTATCACCCGTCGGTGCAGAAAAATAAGACGTTAAACCGCATTTCTTTTATAATGTTTTAAAATATATAATTGCCTGTCTGAGCCAATTTGAGTCCATGACCAATTCGTGATTACCCCCCTTTAATATAATATTTAATTTTACCACCTAGTGCTCTCTTGTTAATGATCAATACTTAAACTTATCACATGTCTGTATAATAAGAATTATGTCCCCATAAAAAAGATGTTTTATATAAGATTTAGATAAGAACTGTCCGGTCTTGCTAAAATAGTTTAAAACAGATAATGATATTGACCAATCTGATTATAATACAGATCTATATATTTCGTTTCATGTTTTTATACTTTCGATGGCCTACACTACATGAAGATCTGACCGGTTGTTGCGATAGGTCACGTCACAGGTCATACGAGCGGCAAGTGAGCCTATGACGTCAGACATTTGATTAACCAATCAGCATTAGTGTTACGTTACTAGTGGATTACCCACAGTTCCGTGCAAAACGCGCCTAAAGCTCGCCGTAACAGACCGTTTCATTGGCTAATACCTCCTCACACTATTCAGAACACGTCAATGATAACAACTCTTCCAGATCCTAGTGTAGTACAGACAAGTAAAACGAAATTTTGAACTATAAAAAAGAAACGAAATAGGATCTGTATTTAAATCAGATTGGATATTGAATATATTGAAAATTACTTTATTCCAGGCGAAGTTATGAGGGTTTGAAGTTTTATCAAAAAGTAGCATAGATTGTTTATTATGTTAACAACAATATTTGACAATCAGGACTAAGTCTCGATTATCTATTTTATCGTTAAACTCTCAAATAGTCGAGGGGTTCTAATCGACTTAAAATTGGAGCCATCCGAAGTGAAATGAAACGAAATGGGGTTTAACCTCCTACTGTTCTGCTCCTATGCTGGGCTAATGAAGACGGGCATACGCCATACAGTGTGCTATGAGGGAAATATTGCCCGGGCAGCGGCACTATCGCCTACTCTTATATCGAATTCCAATTGCCAAGGGATCTTTTACGTGCTTTCCAATGTATACACGGGACCTCGGTTTTTCGTCTCATCCGAAGGACTAGACAGCTGTCATTGTCAGACCCTCCGTCCTGCGGAGCCATCCGATGTCCTAGAAAGTTGATTGTGGGCCATTATAGTCAGATTAAGCTTTTACATAATGTATCTTTTATCGATTTTTAATTGTTTTACCAGGTTTAGCTGTAATCAGACTATATTGGTTCTTATACGCCCACATTTTCATGTGGACGTATACAGTATTGTCGTCGCCCCTGTTCGTCCGTCCACAATTTGTTTGTGGACACTCTACAGGTCACAATTCTTATGCGATTTTGATGAAACTTGAAATATAGGTTTATCTCCAAAAGATCTCGGCTGCTTTCGATATTGGCATGTATCGGATCGAAACTTCATGGATTATGGCCCTTGTTTGTACGAAAAATCACGTTTTTAGCCTGTGGACCCTATAGAGGTCACAATTTTTATCCGATTTTGAAACCTGAACAGTAAGTTTATAACCCAAAGATCTCGGTTCCTTTCGATATTCGCGCATATCGGACCGTAACTTCCTGAATTATGGCCCCTGATTGTACGAAAAATCGCGTTTTTAGCTTGTTCTCTATCCATCTCTCGAAAATGTGGGCGTATCCTGCCTGGCAGCCGCTGGTTAATGTATCTTTAATCGATTTTTAATTGTTTTACATGATTTATATTTGTTGATATTTTTAATTGTTTCACATGATTTATATTTGTTGATATTTTTTATATTCCTGCATTTAATGGTGGCATTTGTTTGAGACACCCTCCCGTCTTGGAGGATCGGGAAGAGCCCCACAAGATAAAAAGCATTAGGCCCGTATTCATCATCTACATCCGGTACTATATATCTACATCCGATACTATATATCGACCGCTCATTATGTGATATGTTACCTAAATGGTGTATGTTTGATTGATTTAAATGAGACGGTATATTTGATTGAATTAAATAAAACAGTGTATTTGATTGATTTTATTAAAACAGTATATTTGATTGAGTTAAATACAACAGTTTATTTGATTGATTTAAATACAACAGCGTATTTGATTGATTTTAATAATACAGACCTGCAAAACATGTTTCACAACAACTTTTAAGTTCATTATATGCTCGGACTGGGCTAATGAAGCCGGGCATTTGCCAACAGTGTTCTATGAGGGAAGGGAAATCTTTGCCCTGACAGCAGCGCTACGGCCTACTCATATCGAATTTTAACTGTCAAGAGATCTTTAACGTGCACGCCAATGTATACGCGGTACTTCGGTTGTTCGTACAATCCGAACGACTAGACAGCTGTTATGTCCAAGTTCTCCTTCCAGCGCCACTGACAAGGGGGAAACCACGTCGGAAAATCCTGATGAACTTTCTCGGCCAATGCAGGGATCGAACACCCGACCTCTAGGCTAGCTAGCCAACGTCTTACCTACTTAGCCACCGTGGCACCCCAAACATTATATGAAAACGTGGGTAATAAAGACATGCCTATAGCTCTGCCCCGTCCATTCTTCTGTGTTTTAATATATATTTTGATATTTAGCACCAATCAATTTGTAAATTGTATAAAAACAATGGAGATAGGGGATGTCTAATCTGCTACTTACCGCGATAGACACACACTCTTTGATTGGTGTATTATGTATTGTTTAATGGTCGAGAGCGAGACATTAAGTAATATATTGTAACAAAACGAGGGTCGTAGGCCCGAGTGTTTTTACAAGGTATTACGCAATGTCTTAAGCTCGAGGCCATTAAACGACTTAAAATACAGAGACTCCGCAAGTGCGTTTACAGTGAAATACGTCACGCGAGTCCAATATTTCACTAGTATAAATAATGTACGATTGGCAAGTTGTCCGTACGATTATTGAAATAATGGTACGCCAACATCAAAGGGTGACGTCACATCTGTATTTTAAGTAGGATTATGTTATCTTGACCATGGGACGATAATTCGGGTATAGACTTTTTATACGTTAATTTATTGAATGACGTCATGGACCGTGTATAATCAGCCACTGGCCGTGATGGACACATTCCTTGGTTAATGTATTACACGTCTGGAAATAACCATAGAAATGAAATGAAATGGAGTTTAACGTCCTACTGTTCTGCTCCTAACCTGGGCTAATGAAGACGGGCATACGCCATACAGTGTGCTATGAGGGAAATTTTGCCCGGACAGTGGCACTACGGCCTACTCTTATATCGAATTCCAACTACCAAGGGATCTTTTACGTGCACGCCAATGTGTACACCTCGGTTTTTCGTCCCATCCGAACGACTAGACAGCTTTCCTTGTCAGGCCCTCCATCCTGCATCACTTGACAAGGGGAAACCACCCCGGAAAATCTGGATGAACTTTCTCGGCCAATGCAGGGATCGAACACCCGACCTCCAGGCTAGCGAGCCAGCGCCTTACCCACTTAGCCACGTGATCCCCTTCCTTGGTTAATGTATTACACGTCTGGGAATAACCATAGGATGATAATCCAGGAATAGACTTTTTAAATGAAGTAATAGATGTCTATCGGTTTTAACACTTTCGATGGCCTACACTACATGAAGATCTGACAAGTTGTACTGGTAGGTCGTGTCAGGGGTCATACGAGCGGCTTTTGACCCTATGACGTCAGTCATTGATTAATCAATCAGCGTTGACGTTTCTAGTGGTTTACGCACAGGTCCGTGCATGACACGCCAAGAGTTCGCCGTAACAGACCATTTCATTAGCTATCCCTCAAATCAGCCAAAACGCCGGTTATATAAAAAGTCTTCCAGATCCTGGTGTAGTAAAGACAAGTAAAACGAAATCTTCAACTATAAAAATCAAAACGAAATAGGATCTGTGTTTTAATCAGATTGTTCATATGTAAATTGGCTTTCAATCTTTGTAAATGTGTCCTCGCCCACTTCCCATCCGAGAACTCAAACACCTATAAACTATACTCAGCCAAAGTAAAAACTTGACACTCGGGATTTTTGGGACTAGATTTTTAATATTTGGTTTAAGGCAACTATTTTAGTGTTATGTTGTGCACAGACGACCTTGACATCAACAGAAAGCAAGAATACGTCTCACCGAAAGTCCTTGACATTGATAACGTTCGTGATGTCACAGTACCCCCCAAAATGAAACTCACAGACTTGGAGAACAATCGGAATAAAGTGTTTAGTAACGGTTGTGGCCTCCTCTAGCGTCTCGTACTGCCACACAACGCCCTCTCATGGATCTCAGAACATTAGTTAACACTATCCGAGGAAGACGTCGCAACTGCTCAGCAAGAGCATGTTGAAGGTCCTGCAACGTCAGTGGTGGATTCACTTACTGACGAACACGTCGACCCAGTTCGTCCCAGTTGTGTTCAATACGATTAAGGTCGGGGCTAAGCGACGGCCAATCCAGAACTTGGACACCGGCATTTCTTTAAAAATTCTGGGTAGCAATTGATGTATCGGGTCGAGCATTGTCTTGTTGAAACGTTAGTCCAGGCCCATGTCTCTGCATAAACGGAAGAAGAACAGGTTGCAAAATCTGATCCCTGTACTGGACAGCATTTAAGTTCCCTTGGGCAACAACAAGAGGAGAATGTCCATGTGCACAAACAGAACCCCAAACCATGACCCTGCCGCCACCAAATCGGTCAACTTCTCTGACGCATACTTGAGCGTAACGTTCACCTCGTCTGCGGTACACTCGGACCCTGCCATTGGCAAATCTCAAAGTGAATCGAGATGCGTCACTAAAGACAACCGAATTCCACTGTCTTTGAGTAAATCTTATGTGTCTTGTGGCCCACACAAGTCGGTTACGGCGATGAAGAGGTGTCAATATTGGTCCATTATAGGGCCTCCGAGCTCGAAGACCAGCAGCCTGCAAGCGATTTCGAACAGTTTGTGCAGTTACCCTTCCACCAAACATCTCTCTACTTGTGGAGGTTGCAGTGACAAATCTGTTTCTAAGATAACGTAATCGTATTGCTTGATCTTCCTGGAGTGACGTCACAGGTGGCGCTCCCGCCCTTGGGCGGTCGGCAATAGTTCCAGTTTGAAGCACTCTCATTCTAAGATTAATTATTGTCTGGTGTAAACAATTGCAACAGTGACCACAGACTGACCAGCGTAGAGCCTACCTATAACACGTAGACGTTCTACATTTGAAAGGCGCGGCATTTTCTAACAAAGATGAAAATAACAATTTTAATTTGTTTTTCCAGTTCAAGTTACGTGTGCGGGTTCAGTTTAAGCAAACTTGCATCGATTGACCTCACGAGTTTGTGTTTTCACGTGTTTTTCAGGTTTTTCATCTTTATATGCTCAAAAGTCACGTGATCCACGAGACTTTACAATTTTATGAAATTAAAGGCTTCTTACTACTTACTATCGTTAGAAACACTTTACAATTTATTTGACTTACCAGAAAAATAATTATGTTGAAATTCATCAGTGTCAAGTTTTTAATTTGGCTGAGTATATATAGACCTTGGAATGGAAACTGTACTTTTTAATAATTAAAGAGACTGCCCAAGTACAAACCAAATCTGGAAAATAGTTTTTTATCATCTAGAGGTCTGGTGTTATATCACCCGTTACACACTCCCATTGATAAACACAACAACCCAATAATCTAGAGGTCTGATGTTATATCACTCGTTACACAACCCCATTGATACACACAACAACACAATACAGGTATTCAACATTTATACGATAGTTATTTCCATTAACAGCATCGACAATTTCGTATAAATGGAAAGTAGACAAAATAAATCTTGCTACACAAATACTGGATTCCCCAAAAAACACCCACAGGGTGGTTCCTAGAGGATCAAACCGTAAGGGTATCATTTAATGGCAATCGTTAGTGTCTGCTCAAATGACATAGGGAGCGTTGTGTATGTGTTGGTGGGATGGCTAGCGGCTGTGGTACAAATACGCGTAGGACAAACTCAGCCAATAAGCATCGCAAAAACCACGCAGGCAGAGATAATAGAAGAATTTACTTATTTCACACTACATGTAGGGTTACGTAGTGACTATCTTTCGTCACGGCACCAAAAAAACATTGATGTGACACTACGGGGACAGATGTGACTATCTAATCAGAAACTCCCAGAAAACGGCCCGTGACCCTAGGTTAAAACTTATCTAGTTAGGACTTTCACGCTGTCTATAAAACTTCAATGAACAACTGACCCTGGAACACTGTGTTTTTATAACTATGTTTATATATGAAATACAGGAAACTTCAACAACTATGATATTATAACATCTACAGTCTGAGTTAAACAAGCCTAGAACTCAGACCTAACGGCTGAAACACTACATTGTCTCTATCCCGGCCTCGAACTAGAGGCTGAGAGTACGTCCTAAGAACCCTGCATGATGTTGGTATCCCGGCCTGTAGGCCGAGATGGCTAACGATATATCTCTCTAGGAACTCCAAATGATGTCTGAAGGGAAAATTAACCCTACTCTTTCTTATAGAAAGTATAGATTGTCAGCTATTAGCGTGGGACAAGTGTTTCGTATGGGCACCGTTTTACGTCAACATTATTCTCTTTAATTGGAGATGACTGGACGATAGTACCCTACTTTCAGCAATTGATGGTGACAGGAACTGTCTGTTAGTTAGTCTTAGAAAGTTGAATCTACTTAGCCCATTTCTCGTTGTCACCCATTTGTTAAAACACTTCAGTATATTAAACAGAGCACCTTTCATAGAACTTAAACAACCGCTATAATATCACACTTGGGCTTCGTTATCTATGGTAAATGGACAGCGAGTTACGACAAATAATAGTTACAAATACATTTCAATGGGAATAACATGACTGCTTGAAACAGATTTTTTTTGTGACTTGGGGTAGTTTATTGCGATTAATACTTTTTGCGAGAGATTTGAATCAAGTTTTTGATGGCCAAATTCACCCATAATTATCATCAATCGCACAGCTTGTACGTCGGAAATCCTCTTGAAACAAACCAACAGTGAGGCTG